GGCCTTCATCACCTGTCATACCACATGCTCGTGACTTGAGACTCCACCTCATCGACGAGAACCTCAACTACAAAGAGGTTTTGGGGTGGACCGAAACTTAGGAGCCATCGTCCGGCTCACGACGTGAAAGAAGCGCTTGTTGGGAGGCAACCCTACCAGTCGGTTTGCCTTTCTTTCTCTTTTTCTCCTCGGTTGAGTCGGTTTTGTTCTTTGGTTTTAGAGTCAATAACTCAACCTTTATGAGATTTTGTGTGGTGTTTGTGTTCCGACTACTCTCTCCTCCTGGAATGCACCGCCTGCCCCATCCACCATCATTCACCCTTGATCTGGTAACTTCGTTCTACCCTCCTTATCTTTCCTCCATTGAGGACAATGTCATGCTTAAGTGTGGGGGGATGTTCAATTATGCATGCAGGTGAATGTTTAGATGTTTGTGTGCTTGGAACCTAGTCCACTGTCCAAAATTTTAAATTTGAGGGCTCCAAGCACGTGTTTCCTTGCAAATTTCCTGCTCAGTATGCTTTAAATTGACAGTCTCTATAGTAATGTGCAACCTAGGGAGGTAGTGTAGCACTATGGAGGATGTTGAAGTATAAGATTTTTCCTATCTAGCTCTCTGCTGTGCCAGTTGATTTTGTGAATTAGTGGAGCTAAGACCGTTGAATTCATGTGGTAATGGTGATTCTGTTTGGATTGTGTTATGGAATCGTGTATCGAACAGGGTGCTCATGTGGAAAATGAAAAGCAGTTGGTCCTCCATGTCGAAATCATTGAAATCTTAAACATGGGGTAAGCCCAACGTGTGTGGCACCGTTCATTGCACAAAATCGGGTTTTGGAAGAGATTTTAGTGATCCTTAGTGGGGTACTCCTACAAGGTGAAGCTAAGCTATCTCTAGTACAAGTAAAACTTCCACCCGTTGAACGGTCTGCCTACTTGAGGATGTGTTTTTAAGGGCACGGATAGAGCTTCCGACCCCCCTTAATTTCATTGACCCTCCACACGAGTTGAGGAAAAGGAGTTAAAAGAAGTACTCTGGCGAGCGCCAGATGTACAGAAGTTGCTCTTGCTCGACTAATAAGGATCGACCGTGCAAAATACTGCAGTTGGAACCCCCGCCAAGTGAATGAAAAGAAAAGAAAAATGAAAAATGAAAGTGAAAAAGGGGTTCCAACGGTGAAATGAAGTGAAATAGCACCCTGGTACAACGAGTCCTTGGTTGTGAATGGTGTGAGTCCCTTTATCCATGAACTAATTGTCTTACTTCTACTTCTTCTCATGATCCGGGCCTGAGTCTAGTACTCGCATTGAGAGAGATAAGGAACGTCTTAGAAGACCAGTTGACCTCGTAAGCTGCTTTATGATCTAGGAAATCCTCTACCGACGATCGGGGTTGTTTGTTGCTATAGAGGTCTAGAGAGTTGCATTGGTTTGAGTTAGGTTTGCTTGGGGACAAGCAAACGGTTAAGTGTGGGGGAGTTTGATATACCATTAATTGCACATGTTTTTACCCCTATTCTTTAGCCGTTTGAGATGTTGATTCTCGTGTTTTAAGCCGATTTCACGCTAGGTTGTGCGTTTATGTCATATTTCAGGGCTTAGCGTTGGCATCGAGGCGAAGAAACGAGTTTCGGGTCGAAAGGAGCACGTTTGGGTTGAAGTGTGCTGGAGGAGCAAAATACCCGGCCATAGGCATAAATACCCGGCCGGGTATTAATCGGAGCAGGCCGGGGAAAACCTGTTTTGGGCGTTTGAGAAGCAGAAGGGGCCCAAGGCATTAATCCTAAATCTCCGGTCGGGTATTCTTGACCCTGACCGGGGATTAACCCCCTATCTCCGACAGTGCGTTTCAACAATCCACGGTCGCCACCTAAAATACCCGACCGAGTATTCTGACCGGGGATCACGAACGCAGGCTGTTAAAAGCATGTTTTGTGCTTTTCTGAAAGGGAGAGCAGGGTTTTGGATCCCAAACACCCAAGGGACGAACCAAAGAGAGAGAGGGCGATTTGAGGGCATTCTTGGAGTGGAATTGGAGGATTTCTTCGCCTTGGAAGCTCGAGGAACAAGCCTGGACTTGAAGACTGATCATCTGAAGATTCTTACTGCAGCCTCTCTCTTCTCTATGGAGTAACTTCCCTTCACTTAGGTTTTGAGGAACCCTAGCTATGTTTGTTTGATTGGATGAGTGTATGAGTACTCTTACTTGATAATCTTGAGTTCATATTCAATCTATGCACGTTTTCATGATTCAATTCTGCTTTAGTCGAGATTATTGATTCTGCTTTGATCCTATGAGAGAGAATACCTGATTAGGTCAGAAGAGCACCATAGATTGGTAGTAGTGGATCGATTTCTTTAGTCGAGGGTTGATTCACTGCTTTGTATCAATTGAGAACCTCTTTAGATAGAGGGTGTCTAGTTCAGAACGCCTTGATCAGTTGTTCTAGAGAAGGATACGTCCCTCTAGGCAATCGACTCAAGAGGGCCTTGATCCTTTAGTCGAGATTCAAGGTCTAGTCAAGGATTCTCCGCATTGTGAATGAAAGTGAAACAAGTTAGAAATAATCAATTATTAATCTGGCTAGTGGCTAGGGGGAATCATACCTAAGTGAGTTCCCAACCTGTAATTAGATTAACTTTAACTATAATTTGTTATAGTAGTTTTAGTTCTTCCATCTTAATCTGGTTTGCTAGATAATGAACTGAAGTTGAGTAATAGTAACTCTAGAGACCCGTGGATTCGATATTTATTACTTGAGCCACTATACTGCAGTCCCTTTCATTGGTTCCACTTGGCCATTGTTAGGGGTTGTGTCATAGCAAGTCAATCCATCATCAGGTTCAGAATCTGTTGGTTTAGGTAGGTGGAATTGTTCTAGGGAGGAACCATAAGATCCCAATAAGGTTTCTAGTTGATGAAGCACCGAATTTCGCAGTCTCTCCTCTGTGCCTCTATGGGCTTATATGTGGTTGAATGAAGCTGCTTTTGAAGATAATACACATGATGTTCACCCATAAGTTTACAAGATTACTCGAACAAAGCAGTTGGATTAGGTATCTCACAAAACATGAGCATTGAAATGAAGGTTCTCCTTATCAGATTTGGCATGCTTGAAGTCGATATTTCCTGGAGAACCTTTTTCCATTCTGAAGAATCACATAAGAGTCCTAATTTTTCACACGCTTTTTCATAAGTACTTCAAATTTTTCCTCGAACAGTCCTTAAGTCGCTAAAGCTTGTTGATCCTTGTACCTTTGTCAATAATAGTCTAAGGAAAAAGACATCACTGCTCCCGGGGGGAACATAAGCAATTCTTCCAATGACAAATCCTCTTTTCCTCAAGGTCCACTCATTGTATTCTTCATTCCATGTGTATGAACCTGGGATCTGAGTATATGTTAACTTTCTAGCATCAGGGTCTTGTCTATTAAGCTGAAACCAAGATGTTAGATGCGTCTTGCCAGCTTTGGGATTTTTTAGAATGTTCTTGACTTTTGACTGCCTCATACATGGAACATTCTGTTGTCCTTGCAAGTGTACAGCAAGACAGACAATGTTTGGTTCCCTATGATGAATAGGATATTCATTGATACTCCACACAGCTTCATAAGAGGATAAGGATCGACAAGTTCCTGTTGTATGGAACGACGTATCTATTATCCAACATAGTTTTTCCTTTTTTCACTTCAACTCCATAATCTCTACGTCGATACACTACATTTCCAAACTTATGGTCTAAGCTGCACCAACTAACACAAAGTAATGGTAGAACTAATCTGGTTCTATTAGCATATACCAACACACACCTGATATAAATGACTATTGGGAAGAAATATGGTTCTTTATTAGCACAATATGTATAACATAAAAGCAAGTAAAAAAAGCACTTGAACCTTAGCCGTTAAATTGATAGTTATAAGAGGGACTTACTTGCTATTGTCTTGCCGAAGTATGATTCTCGTTTGATTTCATCAATGAGCATGCTGAGTTTCATATGAAAGACCCGACAAACGACCATTGGCTTCAACTCGCTGTTCAAACCCACCATATCTGCAAAAGCCTCAACGATTTCTTCCCAAAGTGCATTACACGTGAATGTAATGAACAAATAAGGATTTCCATAGTGCTGACAGGTTGCCATGGCATGATGATAAAGTTGTTGCATATATCTAGGTCCTCCGGTGTATGAAGAAGGTATAATAATACGACCAAGTTTTTCACCGTCCATATCTCCTCTAGCAAATGCATCTTCCAAACCTTGATACACTTCAAACCTTAGGTCATTTTGATGGGTTCTGAGGAATGTCAATCGATTGAGTTCAATTGTCGAAAATGCATCAACACAGTAGTGCTGCAGCGCTTTTCCACTTTTGACCAATGTATGTCCCTCATTTGAACGATAATGAAGCCTAAAAGCATAGTATTCCCTTTGTGTAACAAACTTCCTACGCATTGATGGAGGACAAAAGGAAATGTTATATGAAACTTGGGGGTGAAACCCGTCCTCTCCATAAGGAAATAATAATGGAAAGTGCAGTGCCTCGAATTTTGGATTCAAACTCGTTATACGCTTCAATTCTCCATTTTGATAATCTACAATGATATCTCTGTCTTCCCTATCGGGAACAAAATCTCCATGTATCAAGGCTGCAACATCACTGCTTGTTGGAAGATCATATTGTCGATTTCTACTTTTTATTCCAAATATTCGAAGGCGTAGATTTGGTGTTGAAGACAATTGCAGATTCTGCCGGATGCGTCTAAATGTCTTCACCAATTCATTAGTTTCATCAAGCATTCTGAGTAAAGATGTTAGCAACGCAGGCAACAACACTTCATCGAGTTGCAAAGTTTGCTAATCTATTGTCGATCTCACTATGTAGTTCAAAGATATATAGCTGAGCAAACTTTGGTCGTTCTCCTTCAACTGGCAGCAAGGAACCAATTCTATGATAGTTCTCTCCGCAGATCACCATTGAATAAGGTCCTCAACTTGTTAGAGAGCGAGGATCCAGTTTTGCTTCAAAAGATGTGAAACATAACGACCCATTATAAGGCCTTATATTTTCCCTAAAATGTTTTGATAATGCTCCACCATTGATGTCAAGTAATTGGGCAAGGAGTGGAGATGGCTGCTTCAACAATGGGAGGTTGACTCTTCCTTTTTGACAACACAGAGTATACACTGGAGTAGTTATCTTTCTATGACGACCTAATCACTCATAATACCAGAAAAATGCCCCACAAAACCGACAAACACATTCTGGTTTTCCCACATTCAGTATATCATTATGCAATGGCCTTATTGCAGTGCTAACCTTTTTGTTGACAGGGCCAGGTTGCCTCTCCAGGGGAAGACTTGGAGGATTTTGTCTTGAGGTTTGACCTTCCATGTGTGTTGTGTAAGGGTCCTGAGGAGCTGCAGTCCTGCCAATATATCCTGAGAGCTCTGTATCTTCAGCCGAGAGCATAAAAGGAAGCTGGCGGGATTTCTTATTCATTCTTGTGTTGTCCCTGAGAACTGGTGGAAAAGCAGATGGTGTAACATCAGTGATTCCAGAACTTAGAGAATCATCATTCCACTTTCGTTTCAACACCTTGTTAGTTGTTGGCTTCTTTCTTGGGGTCATGCTGCATTAATGGAGCAAAACAAAAAACATTATTAAAGTTTTCCTTGCAAGGAAACTTCAATGTACAATAATGGTGGAGAATGGAGGTCATGCAAGGTTGCACAATGAACAAAAGATAGACAGACTAATGAATGACACACACACGAATCTAAGAATGAATGAATGAACCCCAAAATGACTCACATGACTGATGAGTCTATGAGTTCTGCAACATGGAACAGGAATATTCCAAGCTTAATTGGTTCTCTGCAGAAGCTCTGTTGTATTGATGGGAGTCAGGAGAGAAAACTGTAAGAAGCAAAGATTTGAGGAGGAGAAGCACTGTTTTCAGAATTAATGGATGCTCTAAACCTTTGCTCTTATTAAAATCTTTTTTTTTGTGTCCCCATGTCATCATTATGAATTTGTTTGGTACACAACATTAAATGAAAATTGATGGCTGTCAGTTATACTCAATTGGTGACATAAGGACATGCTGATGAAAGTAATGATGGCTTGTTAGTCTCATAGAGATATATTTGTATCTATGATTATTAGTGATTAAAAGAGTATTAATTGGTCATTTTCATTGTTAGTACTCGATTTATCAGGTCGTGCATTTAATAAAAGATCTGAGGACAACTTGTATAATGGAACATGTGGTAAGAACATTAGACTCATATATTGCACAAACAAATTCCATTGTGGATCCTCTATTGATGAACCCAAACATTGTACACATCTAATCTAAAACTGATATTTAAAACTAAAGGAAAAAGAACATAAGACAACAGAGATAGCTTAACTGATACTTAACCGATATCCAGATTCATACATCATTACATTCTGGCACTACTTGTAACCATTACCAGAAGACACTAACAGATGTGTTACATAAACATACTTCCCAAACCAGAAGCCAAATAGTTACAACTTGAACACTAATAAGCTGCAAGGGAGCTGCTCAGAATATTCACAAAACAACAGTCTATTTTGGTTCACCGATACATCAAAGATCACCAAGAAGATTGGGAAGACAAATGGCCATTAAAGAAGTTCCCCATAAGTTCCATGAAGAAGCCATTTAAATACAACACCTTGAGAACTTCCAATCTCCCAAGTATCCCCAAAAGAGGCTGTGATACCTTCAAAAACCAACTTCCAAGTACCAGCAAACAACTCCCCTGAGCTCCAAACGTCATCCTACAAAGTAATACATGCATATAAAATTTGGATCATGAGAAACCAAAACCTGAAAGATGGGATTCCATGATAGAACACTATTATTCTCCTTGCTTCACCTTTGCCAACGGCGACACCAACCTAGATCATTTAAAAGAAATCAGATAAACTAAAACAGAAAAGCTCATAATCAAGCATAGTTGTAGAATAATATAGTAACCGAAACCACTTACAGATTTGCCGACGGCGATGAAGAGGGTGTCGATGTAGATGATGTCTTGCTAATCTTACTCTGAGGAGTTCCAAACTCTTCCCTGATTGCACCCGATGACGATGATGTCTTACTAACCTTACTTTGAGGAGTCCCAAACTCCTTCCCAACTTCATCTGATGAACGCAAAGACGGTTGCTCACACGAACTCATGAAATCAACAACACTGCCTTGCGGCAAAGATGGTTTAATCTTAGGAATCTTCACATCACCAACAACCCTGGCTCTGGTAGGCTTGTAGGATTTGCAAGAAATGCATTTTGAGCTTCTGAAGCAGCTGATCCAGAAGGCTGTTTGGGCACCTTCCCAACATTGCTAGGGACAGAAGAGTTCTGCTGGAAATGGGCTGTGGCAAAGACTGAGGTCCCAACGGCATAGCACCAGCACCTTCTCTAACGACCAACGGACTTTGATACTGACTGGAAAATGACACAAAATCTGTCAATAGCTTCTCAGACAATGAAAAAAACAGGAAAAAAATCCAGAAATCACTTGAGAGGCTGCCCTGCTGCCTGCCTAATCTGAAAAGTTGGATTGCAGTTCACAAATAACAGTGGTCCAGAAACCTTTGCTTTGCCCTTGGACAAACTGACAAATGACAAGAAAACAATAAGTTTTAAACTCTTAACCCATACATCCACAAGAGGCAATCATCAGGAGACCAGAAAATCACATAAGCAAAATTTTAAACCTGGCCGGAGTAGGATACAGAACTGCTCACAGGCAATGACTCAGTTGGTCCAGTCAACATAAGCACTCCACATTGTTCAGGCATACCCTGCAAAGCAAGCCTACCCTGGGTTCCACCAGTAATTATTTGCACTAGAGCAACAACAGCGGGCAACAAACCCTTATTATCCTGAGGAAGTACTCGGAATACCCTGAACTCTCCAGTGGACAGTCCATTAGAACTCATCATAGGAAGCTTGACTTCAAATCTCACAAACTGGCCAATGAAATTACTCATCTCGGGTGGTAGCTGCCCAGTTCTATGAGGATATTTCTGAGCAAGTAGGTGGGCAGATGTGAACACCAAATTATTACCAGTTGGCCCAAAAATTATAAAAGGTGCCTCTCCCGTTGAGTCACGCAAGAATAACTGAATCTTGTACCTAAAGAATATAGGGAACACATTCAGACACTTTTATTTCAAAGCAAAGCAGACAGCCAAACAACTAAATAAGGCAACAGGGTAACCCTAAAACAAACACATAACATAATGTTTGCAGAAAGAAGCATAGTGTATACCCAATAGTAACTTGCTGGTAAGAGATTTCTCAATGATCTGGACACCAATAGTTTTCATTCCTCCATGTAGAACACTTCTTTCTACACAGGTTACAGGAAGTATAGTACCATGGACTCCGAGACTCAACAGATCGGATAATTCCACCACAACGGTGCTTCTCATCCTATTAAAAAGAACACACATTGGTTAAAACCAAGGCCAGAAAAATCTAAAAATAGTCTGAGGTAACAAAGATGGGCACAGAGCGAAACATGCATACCACAGAAGCACCAGATGGGTACAAATTATGGAGCTCAAGTATGGTCCTCGTGCGACGCTCTGCATCCGCAAGAGCAGCCTCAGGCGTAGCAAACTGAATGGCCAGACCTGCAACAAGATTTCTTGCTCCAGCAAAGTTGTAACAGCAAACATAAGCAAAATTAGAAAAAGAATAAAGCTTAACAAAACTACACAGGAGTAATCAACAACTCACTAAGCAGTCAAGCTATAGGCCTCAGGAATGGATGGCTAAAAACTATGTGTGTGGCAGTAGAGCTTGAACACGTGTATTCACCTTCTGGAAAACAGGAAAAAATTGAGGAAACATCAAAATCTCTCCCACAGGCTGAACACACGCCTGAAAACTGGTGGTCCTCGATAATTCCATTAGAAGATCCAAAGAGCATGCACGGTAAAGATTCCTTGCTGCACCAGGACCAAAAGGTCTGATTATGTAGATAGTTCCAACACGCAGAATACCTTCAAAAGCAGTTCCAAGAGAAACATCTGCAAGGCTCTGAATGAGCATGCCCTGCATGCAACCAACAGAGTAAAGGCATAATGAGTTACAACGAGAAAAAAATTGGTAAAAAATACCAAAAAGACGGAAAAGGGGCCAATCCTATAGTACCGTTTGATCCACCCAAAGACAACGGTGATTGAACACTCTGGATCCATCAGGATTCTTCGCAAACCACATATGAAGCAGACACAGATGGAGAATGACATCTCTGCTGGGACCCTTGAAATTGCACAGCAAAACCACATTTTTAGTTCCATCTACAGAGCAAAAAACCCGACGAACAACCGATGCAAAGCAAAAGAAACCCTCAAACAGCAGGCGGAGCAGGAGAGAGGCAATTAGAGCAGAAAAGTGAAAGCGAAAGAAAACCCAAGAGCTGAGAGAAAACCGTTTAAGTACTAAGATGGAAAAACAGAATAGAGAGAGCTTCTCTAAGTAAAGAGCAAGCTAAACAGTAATCGCCGACCAAACGCAGCCTATCCCTGCAATTGATGTGAAACACAGTCGATAACCACGCGCAGCTCAGCATTTTTGCGGTCACAAAGCCCTCCCCCCCCCCCCTAATTTGAAAGGAAAAACTAAATAAAAGTTAGTCCCTGCGGAGACATGACCTCGATCAATCAACCGAGCAGGCCCTCTCAAGGCTCTCATCATGACCGAAGAACTCAGCTCTCAAGAGGCACAGCAACCCATGACAAAACTGAACCCACCCTACATATCTCCACCCATAAAACCGTCAATCACCTGCAAATACCCTGACATAGCTGGCAAGGAAGATAGACCGGCCGCCTGAAATCCATCTAATCACGCAACTGTGCAGGCTCCAGTCACAGAGAGTGCTATGGCGACCAACGCAGCCGAGAACCCCAAACGATTCAACAGACAAACACAACCAACAACCAGTCCCACCCAACCGAGCCGCCAAACTCCCGTCAGAATCCAAAGAGGCCTCACCACACTCCAGCCCACACAGAGAAAGCTTTCGGGTTATAACAGTAGATCCTAGTCACGTTGAGCAGTAAAAGCAGTCTGTGTGTGCAGTGTTCGGTTCTGTGGTGGCTTTTCTTCTTTCATTGTTTTATCTCTATTAAATTATTATTATAATGAGGTGAAAATTGTAAACAAATTAATTTTATTATATTATTATTGTTTATTTGCCATGTCACTTATTTAACGGTCAGCTGTGAAGGTTGACTGCCACGTCAGAAAATTTAACAGAGACTAACGGCTAGTGACCTAACTTAAACTGTTAAACTAATTTAAGTGACGACGAATAGAATAAATTAATTTTAGTGACAAATGTAAACTTTTATAGTAATTTTAGTGACCAAACTTGCAATTTACCCTTAAATGATGTGGATGTATTTTTTAGATGCTAAGCCCTTAGAGGATGCCCTGGCCTTTATTCAGTAGTAAAACAAGGTGTCTGTACCCCAACAGTTTCATGATTCATTATACAACCAATAAGCAACTACACTGTCTATAATATCAGTGAGTATAAATAAGCATTTATTTGTCCCATCAAATATTTGAATAGCAAGGTCAACCGAGGGTTCCTAGAACAAAGCACATGGAAATATAAACAAAATAAAGTGATGCATAATACTGCAAACTCCCAAGTCCCAAGTATAGAACTAGAAACCAAGCTGAAGAGCAATGAGATTGCCTTTAAGTATGTCACTAATGCATCTCTTTGACTCTTCCTGTCTCTTTATCGAAGTAGATTTTTATCCGAGGCTTCTTTGTCTCCGTGTCCTGCAGATGTCATATATCATATCTGTTAATGCCAATGAATTTCCAATAGTGAGGAAAATCTACATTCTACACTCAATGTTTATTAGCTAGTAACACAAATAATTGACAGCTAGAGGCTAAACTCCTCACTACAGAAATAGAGGTCACAGTAGCAATAAAACAAGAGAACCTAAGCCTAGTCTTCTTTTCATTCATTCTAGTGTCTACTTACCTCTCTCCCTTCGTTCAACTATCCAGTGTTGACATGCTAAACAAAATATCCTCTGCATAAACCACTTGTACTATTATTGCACAAGATACAGTAAAAGAGACAACTAAATCTATTATTGGATACCCAATTATAATCATTTTTTTTCTTTAGGAACAAAAAATACCAAGAATAATGAGGAGAGGATTTGATATTACCTCCTTATTACCCCGCTACCATATTCTTTTTTTTTATAAGGATGATATATGTTTTATTTTGTTGTTATTAAGGTACTACTTAAGGGATTCGAATCTGGGACCTCCAGGTTCTAGGCTAGTGGTATTTCCACTAGACCTTCCATATTCACTTCCCTATAAACATGAGTGATCTGGACTTGCCAGTCTCTGTGTAAACATCTTTGAACCTCAACGACGCTCAAATAGTGGAGATGCTCGGAGTGGCTCTGACGAGTTGGACAAAATTTTGGATGAAAATGGACAAAATTGAACGAGTTGGATTTTTGTAACTCTTCTAAAAGAAATCCAAAGGTAGGTGACCAGTTTGATAATGAGAAGAATGCTCCACAAGTCTCTCCATTGTTGTTACGTCTGTTGTTAGTGACCAGTAGTGGATCGTTGCTGTCCTCCTTTATTTGCTCTTGTTGTTACTTGATTTCCGCTGCACATTTACCTTCCATTGTATTATAAAAGCTGAATATCAATAATAGAAATCTCACGCTGTGAGTTCCTTAACGGTATCAGAGCCCAAAATACTCTAACGACTCAAACCTATTTTCTTTCTTCTTCTTCTTCTTTCATCTCCTAATTCTTCTTCCTTCTGCAAAATGGCTACTGAATCATCCTCTGTTTCATCCACCTCTGTCGCTGTTGGTTCCAATTCCATGCCGATGTCTTCCTTATCTCTTCCGGCCAATCCACAGTTGTCCGTAAAGCTCACAAGAGTTACTGAGAGAGAATGGAGGGAGGGAGACTAGATTCGCTGCTTTTGAAGATTCGACCTTGCGAGAGGGAGAAGTGAAACGGGGACTACGGAGGGAATCAGGGGAATGGTGATGAGAATGCGAATTGAGAAAAGAAAACAGAGAAGGAAAGAGGGAGAGATCGTACGGTAAGTTCAGGTGAAGCTCGAATTTTCCCTCGCGTCGGTGGCCGCTGGATTTTCTACCTATCATGGTTGCCATGTCGAAAGCAAAGCCCACCCGTAGAATCTGGTTGAACCGGTACTGATTACAAAATCGTGTGGAATAATTCTAATATGATTTGCATGATCGATTTTCGACCTTCACACAAAATTATGTTGGTTTCGTGAAAAAAAAATTATAAGAAAAAAATAAATTTTGCTCTGTTTCTTGAATTGAAAGTTGAATGTTGGTGTTAATTGTTGGATTCAAGCATGAATGTTTAGATTATAGATGTTTATATTATTTGTTGGATTCAATTATAATTTTTAAAATATAAGGATCTTTTATTTTGCTTGGAATGTTATATTTTATTTAAATATGAATGTAGATTTTAGAGAAATTTTCTTCAAATATGTTATATAAATGCCTAAAGTAATAAAGTGTTGATGATTTCTCACTCCCCTACGTGTTTTGCTAAAATCGAAATGAACTAGCGTAAACCAGTAGTATCACAAGCTGAATCATAACACTTTCCAAACCAACTAACTGAAAGCAAGTTAAATGTAAACTGGCATCTTTATTCGTTGATTAAGATCGATCTTTATACACAAGACTCTCAATAGAAACCCTTAGACTCGGTTTTGTCAAACGACTATCAATCTCTCAATCCCTACGAAGTAGCTTCATGATTAACCAATCTGAAACTAACCCTGTAACGGCTAACTGACCACTACTAACATAAAACAAATAATGAGGACTATACTGCAAAAGACCAAACGACGCAGTTTTAACTTAAACGAACACTAAGACACTTTAAACCAGCTTTTCCTTCTCCAGAGCGGATTTGGATTCAGCAGTGCTTCATTGAGCAGAATCTTCAACAGCTTCCCCCAGCTTCAGTTCATCAATCTTTAGTCTTCAATTCATCGCTATCAACCAGACCAAGCCTGCTGCGCAGCAATTGAAAGGTTTCTAACTTTAGTTGCTTCGCCATTATATCTGCTATTTGTTCTCCAGTCCCACAATGTTCCAACTCAATCATTCCATTCCTGGCCAGCTCCCTTAAGAAGGGAAACTGTACATCTATGTGCTTGCTTCTTCCGTGCATAACAGGATTCTTAGAAAGCTTAATAGTTGAACTATTGTCGCACATGATCTTGGTTGTTCCTTCTACACATTCCAACCATCCCATCTTAGTTATGATTCTCTTAAGCCACACACACTGGGCAGCACAGAAGGATGCAGCTACAAACTCTGCCTCGGTTGTTTAAAGGGTGACAACAGGCTGCTTCTTCGAGCTCCATGAGATTGCACCTCTTGCAAGGAAGAAGGTGTAGCCACTGGTGCTTTTTTGTCATCTAAGTCACCAGCGTAGTCACTGTCTGTGTATCCAAGCAACCAATCCCCTCCTTCTTGTTTTCTGTACAGAATTCCAAACTTCAGTGTGCCATTTAGATACCTTAGCACCCGTTTTGCTGCCAGCGTATGTTGCCTTATAGGTTTATTCATGTACCTGCTCAACATACAAACTGCATACATAATGTCTGGTCTTGTGACTGTTGCATATAACAGGCTTCCAATAAGCTGTTTATATTCAGTTGCATTAGTCACAATTCCATCTTCAGCTTTCGAGAGTTTGGTTCCCGGAGCCATAGGATTATGAACATAGTTGCAGTCTGTAAGATGGAATCTTTCCAGCAGTTCACTGACATACTAATGCTGAGAAATCAATATGCCTGAATCAGATTGAGTTACCTCTACTCCCAAGAAGAATTTCATCCTTCCCAGATATGTCATTTCAAACTCTTCTTCCATGGATTCTTTAAATTCCTTAAACAACTCAGAACTGGTGCTGGCATAGATTAGATCATCAACACATACATTGACCATTAGCACCTCCCCTTTCCTTTTCTTCACAAACAAAGTGTGTTCAAACTCACATCTTTCAAAACCAGTGTTGACAAACTGAGTTTCAACTCTACTGGACCATGCTCGAGGGGCCTGTTTTAGGCCATACAAAACCTTGTGGCTGTTCAATATAGACCTCTTCTGTAAGTTCTCCCTGCAAGAAAGCACTCTTGACATCTAATTGAT